GTCGCGGTTGCAGAAAGCCGAGCCAGCCGCTCCCACCAGACCGGCCTATTGTTCAGCTGGTTCCGGCTTCCTCTGCTGGAGACTGGGTTTCCGGCTCGCGGCCGCCCCAGGGTCGTGTGGGGAAACCTCGAGCGCAGGGGAAGCGCCTGGGGCTCTCCGGCTGCCTGGGGGGCGTCCGCCTTTCGGGTTCTGGGCCGCGACCGGAACGGCTGCGCCCTGGCCAGGGTGGGGCCGGGCACGCGCGCGCGAGCGCTGCCTGCCGGCGCCTGCCGCCTCCCATTGTCTGTTCCCTCCGGGCCCGGCGCTTCCTGGTCCCCGGCCGCGCTTCTCCGAGCCTCCTCATCGCCCTGCTCGCCCGTTCCAGAGAAAACCTGCCGAGCTAGGACTCGGCTCTGCTCGGTTGACTGCATTCTTTGGGGTCCTGGGGCTGAGCCCAACAGCTGGCCCTTCCTGCAGCGTTTACAAACAAATGTGTGCCACAAGCAGCTAGTAGGAGACGTGCCATCACTTAGGATCAGGGTAAATACTCTCCCTCTCTCACTGCAGCCCCTTAGGCTACTGTCTTTGGGCATTTAGCGTGGCAAGAAATGAGTCCAACTATGCCACGCTTCTTTGTGTGCTGCCCCCATGCCAGCCCCACCTCCACCCAAATCCCCAAGCAGAGTAATTGAATGGAAAGTGAAGATGCTCAAATAGCGTGTCTCCTGCTAGCAAACTCACTCCCTGGTTAACCCACTCTTCCTTTTTCCGTCTATGGCTGTCTGCCCCTGGGCTCCTATCACCACCATTTTACCTTTGCAGACTCTGATTTTAAGAGTCAGACATATTGGCTCTGGGTTTCTGGTGTCTTGGTAGGAACCTGATGCAGTAGCATTGGCTGCCTTTGAGAAATGGCCTACTGATGTACAATTGAAACTGTTCTCATAAAAATATGACTTTTTAAACATATCATGCTGTTTTCCTATTGAGACCAGAAGGTAAAATATACAATAAGTGTGAGAATTATTGGGTTAACTTTTTAATCTGATAATATTTCTACCAACTAAGGTTTACATTTCTTTCAGTCTTTTAGCCAAGATGAGTGACAAGCCAGACTTATCAGAAGTGGAGAAGTTTGACAAGTCAAAACTGAAGAAAACGAATACTGAAGAAAAAAATACTCTTCCCTCGAAGGAAAGTAAGTCATGGGGTTTTCTAGTGGAGACAAACAATAGTGTGAGTTAATAGATTCAGTAAATAAAACTGTCTTCTAGTAAATGTTCCCACAAAGTCAGCAATAGTTAGAGAATTATTATCTTTAATGGAACAGTTAAGACTATTAAATCATTGTCTTATTTGGGTTAAATAAAAGGCTCTCACATGGCAGGCACTAGTAGTAATGGGGGAATAAAAAACTAGCTTCTTGTTATAAAATTGCAAAGAAAACCATTAAAACCAATCTTGGAATCTTGGACTTTAAAGAAATATTAGTTTATCTGACAGTTTGAGTTTGTGATTATATCCCTAAAAAACTCAGGGACATTTTTTTGTCATGTCCGCTTTTGGAGTTCCAAAATTACTAAAAATGTTCTGAAAATATACATACTGCTAATAGTGTAAGGGCAGATAAATCTGAAGAAAATGTTTCATGTGTTTCTCAGTTCTAGAATAATATATGGAAAATGGGCAATGCGTAAACCTACCTCTGAAATGAGGGAGTGGAAAAGTTGATGGGGGATACATACAGTTGATGTGAATTCTGGCTAGTGTTCATATGGTCATTATGCATTCAACATGCCTTTGCATTCTCAATTTTAAAGCACATTTGACAGACTTTAATAACTTACCAAAGAATTCTTTTGGAAGAAACTGAACTTTAATATTAGAAGAATACTCTCAATGATTTTTTTTTTCTTTTTCTCCCTAGCTATCCAACAGGAGAAAGAGTCTGTTCAAACATCATAAAATGAAGATCGCCTCCCAAGAGCAAATTTCAACATTGTCCAAGAGTCTTGGTTTTGGGCTTCTCTTTTGTAAACTTATGTGTTTGTAGAGATTTTAGGCACATTCTGATTTCTTATCACCTATGTTCCCTTGCAAAAAGGTCACAATTGTCCCTTGTTTCCTTAAGTTCGTTTTTAAACTTTCCATTTATTATATAAATTCCAGATGGCACGTGCTGTCATTCTCACCATTCATCTGCACCCCTGTAGGATGAGCCAGTTTTAACCTTCTATAAAGATGCTTCCATTACTTCATAATTTTCAGGAAGTTGCATGGTTTTACAGCTTCTCATGATTTTATGTTCATTTCTAATGTAAGAATTAAAATTCTAACTATAAGCATTATTTGAAACTGTTGTGGTTTATTCTCTATAGTCTTCTAAGAAATTAAAGGTACATAGGGTGCCCTTTTCAACCAAACAAAATGGTTGATGTAAGGCCATTTTTTGCAGGTTATTCATGTGAGAAATATTCTTTGTCCAGGTCCAGGAGTTCCTAATTTAGGGATACTAGGTATTTTTCTCCCTAGAATTGGAATCAAAGAATTCGAAAACCTTAGAAAAGGGAACATAACTCATAACACAGAGATGAAGACAGAAATGTAGGGTTTGAAGAGATCTACTCAAAGTGAATAAGGGCTGAAATCCAAACTGCGTTCCTTTGCCTGCTGGAAAGTGGTTTTCTACTTAATGGAAGGGGGAACATGAGGATAAGGTTAGATGGAAAGTTGGCAGGAGGCACTTGCAAACATGTGCTGTACCAAGCACATTACATTTTCTTTTTTTTTTTTTTAAGAAAAAGATTATTTATTTGAAAGGCAGAGTTACAGAGAGGCAGAGAGAGGTCTTCCATCCGCTGATTGACTCCCCAGATGGCTGCAACGGCCAGAGCTGCGCCGATCTGAAGCCAGGAGCCAAGACTTCCTTCAGGTCTCCCACACAGGTGCAGGGGCCCAAGGACTTTGGCCATTTTATTCTGCTTTCCCAGACCATAACAGAGAGGTGGATTGGCAGTGGAGCAGCTGGGATATAACGCGCCCATGGGGGATGATGGCACTGCAAGTGGTGGCTTCCTATTGAACATAAACTAGAGTAACTAATACCTATCAGTGACTTATAGCATTGGACCACGTGTTTGGGTCTTTCACTGAACAGAATTTGCTGTCTTAATGAACTACACACTTCTCGTGTTCATGGTGAGTGTATGGACTGAATTATGGCCCTCTCAAGTTCATGTTGAAACCCTAACTCACAATGTGACTATATCTGGACATAGGATCTTTAGAAGGTGGTTAAAAGTGAGGTCATAAGGGTAAGGTCCTAATCCTATAAGAGTGTGATCTTAGAAGAGGGAGGGAGGTGGGAGAGACAGAATGAAATCTCCACCATGTGGGTATACAGTGAGAAGTCTGCAAGACGGGAAGAGGCCCCTCATCAGAACCTGACTGCTAGATCTTTCCCTGGGATTTCTAGCATCCACTGTGAGAAAATTGTCTATGGTTCTTTGATATAGCAGCCCAGGTTGACAGATAAAATAAGGAATACATATAAATGGATGTCACAATCTCTGTCCTTAATACTTTCATCACTTTACATTTATAAAAACCAATTAGAATACCAGCAATTAAAATTGTTAGCATTTGGATGTAGACAGCTTTTGATATCCTTGTGTTCCAAGTCTGTGGATTCAACTAACTGGATAAAAAATATTTGGAAAAAAGTTAGATCTGTGCTGAACATGTACAGGTAGATCTGTGCTGAACACGTACAGGTTTTTGGGGTCACTATTCCCTGAACAATACGGTATAACAACTATTTACATAGCATTTACTGTGCATTAGGTATTATCAGTAATTAGAGGTGATTTAAAATATAAGGGAGGTGATGGACATTGCACCTAGCAGTTAAGACAATAGTTAAGGAACCTAAGTCCCAGGAAAGAGTGTTTGGGGTTGATACCTGACTTTGCCTCCCGACTAATGCTCACCCTGGGGGGCAGTGGTGATGGTTCAAGTAACTGTTCCTGTCACCTATGTTGGAGACGTGGATTGTGTTTCTGGCTCCTGGCTTTGGCTCTGGCTCTGGCCAAACTCCAGCCCTTGCAAGCATCTGGGAAGTGAACAAGTGGATGGGAATATTTCCTCTCTCCCCACCCTTTTCTTCTTTCTTTCCCACTCAAATAAATAAAAATTTAAAAATATACAAGAGATTGTGCATAGGTTATATGCAAATATTGTGCCATTTTACATTAGGGACTTGGGCACCAGTGGATTTTGGTATTTGCAGGGGAGTTCTGGAACCAATCCCCCATGCCTACTAAGGAATGACTGTATAGCCACCCAGACTGTACCCATTAATTTCCTATAAAAAGGATTATGCTTTTTGTACCTTCTTGCAACCTGAAGTATTATCTTACTTCTGTTTTTCTAGGGGTTTGCATCCTTAAATAATCACAGGAGTTACAGGAAGTACAAGCTGCTTTCTCCACTATAGCTTAAAATTTCTCAAGTGAAATGGTAGGTGGGCCAACTTTCACCAAGGGCCAGTGAGGTGACACAATCAGCTTAATATGGCCAGAGACGTTGAGCCTCAGAAGCAGTACCTTACCTCCTTCCTCAAACAGTTGTCCAGAAGAGTCACTCAGCCCTTTGAAGTGTCACGTTACTTGCACTGGGCACCAATCTTTGTCCCTGATGCTTCTATTCAGTTGTCCTAGGACATTGCTCTGAAGACATGCATGGTGTAGTTCACTCATCTTAGAGTATTGGAAGTTAGCTGTCGGGTGCCTGACCCCCTACCTTTAAGTCTGCTCCATGTGAGACTTTTCAGATCCTTTGGACCCATGTTACATTGGTGGGGAGCCATCTTGGATGCACTTTGCATGTGTTTAAGTTTGTTCATTATCAAAAGTCTTTGGATCTTGATTGTGTCATTCAACACTTTTTTCTCCTTCCAGCATCACCATTAACAAAACTGAAAAGGTTGTTGTACATCCATGGTAGATTTGCAACCTCAGTAATTGTGCATAATACAATTTAAAGGAAAGCATCAATTTGTCAGGTGAAGATGGGTTTAAACAAAAACTTGTGTTCTGGGGCCGGTGCTGTGGCATAGTGGATAAAGCTGCTGCCTCAGTGCCAACGTCTCATATGGTCACTGGTTCGAGTTCCAGCTGCTCCACTTCCCATCCAGCTCTCTGCTATGGCCTGGGAAAGCAGTACAAGATGGTCCAAGTCCTTGGGCCTGTGCACCCATGTGGGAGACCCAGAAGAGGCAGCTGTTGCAGCCAATTGGGGAGTGAACCAGTGGATGGAAGACCTCTCGCTCGCTCGCTCTCTCTCTGCCTCTCCTTCTCTCTCTGTGTAACTCTGGCTTTCAAATAAATAAACAAATCTTTAAAAAAAAACACTTGTGTTCTGTTGCATCTGATAGCCATCTTTTTCAGTAAAACGTTGATTGCACCCTGGGCAGTATAAATGCTAAACTGAGAGGGAGCAGCTTAGAGGTACATGACGGAAGGTGATGGAGATAGTCGTGCCCTGTATTTTTTTAAATAAATAATGTGGAGCTGCCCTTCTAGCTACAAGTTTCACTTTCCTTTTTCACCAGATGGAGATTTTTCTCTTATGCCTACTACAAGCATAAATACAGATGTGCACCCTGAATTCACTCATTCATTGTAAAATCTGCAGTACTAAGGCCTTGTTGTAGCAATTAATTTTGTGGGGAGAAGACAAAGAGGTAACTTGATGACAGAGCCTAGAGGAGAATTAGAACATGCTACATTGTGGACTTGGATTTGGTAGGTGAAAAAACGGAGGCTCAGAGAGTAAAAGAGAGGTTTTGAAGTCATGAAGAAGGTCCTGCTCAATACATCAAGAAGATAACTTAAGATGGTGAGCCTTCACTTTGGTGTGTGATGGTTATTTGTGAATATATCCAGAAAAACTCAAAATGTGGTTCCTGAGCCAAGAGCATCAGGAGTGTCCTTGATTATTAGTGTGTGTTCCCAGGCCTGATTCCCCTGAGATCCAGATTCAGTGAGTCCAAAGGATATTCTCTTGTCATATATCATCTTGCAAAGTTATGATGTAGGTATTCCTATATGCTTCCTTTCATGCTCATCTTTTGTATCCAACATCTGTATTCTGAGTCTCTCTCTCTCTCTTTCTCTCTTTTTTAAAGATTTATTTATTTATTTGAAAGCCAGAGTTACACAGAGAGAGGAGAGGCAGATAGAGAGAGAGGTCTTCCATCTGCTGGTTCACTCCCCAGATGGCTGCAATGGCCGGAGCTGCGCCGATCCAAAGCCAGGAACCAGGAACTTCTTCTCTCATGTGGGTGCAGTGTCCCAGGGACTTGGACCATCTTCTACTGCTTTCCCAGGCCATAGCAGAGAGCTGGATCAGAAGTGGAGCAGCTGGGACTCGAACCAATGCCCATAAGGGATGCTGGCACCACAGGCTTTATCCGCTACGCCACAGCACTGGCCTCCTGAATCTCTTTCGTGTAGAATGTTTCCTTCCTCAAAAGTGTTATGACTGATGTCTTGAGAGGAAAAGCAGAGTAATTAATCTGCAGGACTCCAAACGTTGTCCCCGGAATGGCAGAGTAGCATCACCTTGTTAGAAATACAAATTCTTGGTGGTAGAGCATTTGACTGCAGAAATACAAATTCTCGGGCCTTGCCTCAGGCCTAATGAATCAGAAATAGGGGGAGAGGCCCAGCAATTGGTGATTCAGATGAACCTTCAAGTTTAGAAACTAGTGGTTTAGAGAAGTGTTTCATGATTGAAAACACTTTCAGCCCTGGGATATGATAGGGCAGGTTAAGTCACACACCATAAAAGGAGAGAGTACAATGTCACTGTGAATGGCATGTCCTGGGAAATTATTAAATCTGGGAAAGTCTGTTATTTGAAAAACAAAAGGCAGAGTTCTGAATTGTCAGAGAGAGATTGCAGTGGTTCCCTTCTGAATAAGTGTGCTTCCAAGGTAATGCAGTACATTTCTTTACCCCAAGCACGTAAAAAGTGGGGGACTACAGTCAGGTTGTGTATGAACCTCCTCCTGATAGGGAGGAAGTAGGCAAGCTGATTAGGTAGGAATAGTCAAGTGGCATTTCTCCCAGACCTGCATTGTAATTCTGCCCCCTTACCCATCAATCTAGTACACTTGGTTTCCCTTAATGCACATCTGTCTCATCCAAGAGCAGGAAGGAGGAAACGCTATAATGGCTACATGGAGATTAAACTGCATGTGGAAAACTGGGAAGCCTCCAGAAAGCCTCAAGCACACGAAAATCCGCCCTGATTGTATATTCAATCAGGGAACCACTCCCTGTCT